ATTTTGATTGATTTTACTATAAAAAGAACCTGGAAATGGAGCTCAAAGTAGGGAAAATGTTTGATTTTTGCCAATGTTCAAAAGTAAACAAATGATGTCATTTTCCAATAAATGTCCAACTAGCCATTCTAATATGCAGTCATGAATGGGTTGATGTTATTTATACAATTATTACAGTATTGCAGTAGTCTGCATAATAGTAAGTCTTCTATTTTTTGTCTGAATAAAAATTCAAAATAGAAAGCAAGAGTAATATCAGAGGGGCCTGGAGACATGACTGATGAACAAAGAAAATGTTATTTTAGAGCCAGGGATGTCTGCATTGTTCATTCTGGACCTTATTTTGAAATTGTCATATTTTTTAATTTTCGTGAAATTGGCCAAATTGCAAATTTCTGACCATGTTATTGGGTATTTGAAATCGGTAAATGCGGAGTTTCTTGTACTCAATCGATAGAAAAAATGGAGTTCTAAAGAAATAGCTATGAGTTTGGTCGACTGGAACAATGGAATTAGCCGAAAATATGGCTCAAAGTGGGCGAAATCGCCGATTTGTAAATATTGCCGAGGTCGCTAACTTCGCAAGAGCATAACTCCGTCAGTTTTCCATCAAATTTCGTTTTTTTGGTGTCATTACAGTCGGGAAAAGATTTTCTATCATTTCATAAGAAAAAATAATTTTTTTTTTTTAAACTTTGCGACACCAGGAGACACCTCAGGATTGGGGGTTGCGACAGCCAAAGGGTTAAGTATAATGCACACAAACTGAAGAAGACATGCACAGTTAGTAGTACTCTACTAACAATAGAATACATGACACTTATCTTTAACCCTTTGAGGGTTTTCGTCGTACTAGTACGTCTTACGCGTAGGGGTTTTTGACGTACTAGAACTCATAAATTCTACCGGCCTCAAATCTAGTGGGAGAAAGCTGGTAGGCCTTCATATGAAAGAATGGGTCTATGTGGTCAGTGTGCACAGTCTAAAAAAAATCCTGCAGCACACAGTGCATAATGAGAAAAAAAAAACTTTTACCATTTTTTTTTAATAAATCAGCGACTTTGCAGTGTATTTTCGTATGGTATTTATTGTTGTATTCTAGTTTTCTTGGTCTTATTTTATAGAATGGAAGACATATTACAGAAATTGAGATGATTTTGACTGGTTTTACAAAGAAAGGTGCCTTGAAATTGAGCTCAAAGTAGCAGAAATGTTCGATTTTTACCAAACTTCAAAAGTAAACAAATCGTGCCAAGCGTGCAATACACGTCAACTGGTGAGTCTAATATTCTTTCACAAGTGCACCAATAATATTTATACCATTTTTTACACTAATGCAGTAGTCTGCATAACAGTAAATCTTATATTTTTTTGTGAAAATAAAAATTCAAAGTGGAAAGCAAAAGAATATAAGAGGGGCCTTGAGACATGACTAATGACTAGAGGAAATGTCATTTTAGTGCCAGGAATGTCTTTCTTGTTTATTCTGGACCCTATTCGGAAATTGGCATCTTTTGAAATTTGTGTGAAATTGGCAAAATTGCTAAATTCTGACCACTGTACTGGATAGTTGAATTTCATAAATGAGTGGTTTCTTGCACCCATTCGATAGAAAAAATGGAGTTCTAGCGACATATTCATGTTTTTTGTCGACTAGTACAGTGAAATTGGCCGAAAATGGGGCTCAAAGTAGGCAAAATCGCCGATGCGTAAACATCGCCGAGACCGCTAACTTTGCGAGAGCATAATTTCGTAAGTTTTCTATCAAATTTCAAACTTTTGGTGTCTTTATGATCGGGAAAAGATTCTCTATCTTTTCATAAGAGAAAATAATTTTTTTTTTTTTTTAAATTTGGCTGACCCTGAGAACGAGTTTCGGAGAGGGCCTGTCGACCCTCAAAGGGTTAATGAAGATCTGGTGATGATTGATGGGATGGGAGGAGGGGAGAGTGTCGAAGTTGTTGTTTAGAAGGAGAATCCCCTTCCAATAGGACTTGAGGTAGCACGTCCTTTTCTGGGATTACTTCCCTTCTTCTTTTAATGCCACTAAGACCAGCTTGAGAGTCAGTGGACTTCAGTCGCACAACATATCTGTCCATAGAGGCCTGTACCTCTCGTTCCTTTATGACTTTTCTAAAGTGGTTCACAACATTGTCATTGTAATAGTCACCAGCACAGCTTGCAATAGCTGTGTGAGGGTGATTTTCAGCCATAAAGGTTTTCACCTTTGTCCACATTGTACACATTTCTTTAATCATTGAAGTAGGCAACTTCTTCAATTTCCCTATCCCTCCTCCGAAGCAGTTTCCTCAGGTCTGGCCTCTTGCTGTTGAAGATGATCTAGCAGCTCATCAGTGGTTAGTTCTTCATTGTCCTCCTCCACCAACTCTTCCACATCCTCCCCACTAACCTCCAACCCCAAGGACTTCCCCAATGCCACAGTGGATTCCTCAACTGGCATACGATTCCCAGGGTTAGCCTCAAACCCTTCAAAATCCCTTTTGTCTACACATTCTGGCCACAGTTTCTTCCAAGCAGTTCAAGGTCCTCTTAGTTACTCCCTCCCAAGCCTTACCTATAAGGTTTACACGATTGAGGATATTAAAGTGATCCTTCCAAAACTCTAAAAGAGTCAGTCGAGTGTCTGTGGTCACTTCAAAGCACTTTTGAAACATAGCTTTTGTGTACAGTTTCTTGAAGTTGGAAATGACCTGCTGATCCATGGGCTGCAGGAGAGGAGTGGTATTAGGAGGCAAAAACGTGACCTTAATGAAGCTCATGTCCCCAGAAAGTCGCTCTGCCAAGTCTGTAGGATGACCAGGGGCATTGTCTAATACCAGGAGGCACTTAAGGTTAATTTCTTTTCAATTAGGTAATCTTTCACATTGGGGGCAAATGCATGGTGTAACCAGTCATAGAAGAAGTCCCTAGTGGCCCATGCCTTACTGTTTGCCCTCCACAGCACACACAAATTAGCCTTGAGGACATTGTTTTGCCTGAACACTCTGGGAGTTTCTGAGTGATACACCAATAAAGGCTTCACTTTGCAATCACCACTAGCATTGGCACACAAGAGAAGAGTAAGCCTGTCTTTCATAGGCTTATGTCCTGGGAGTGCCTTTTCCTCCTGAGTAATGTATGTCCTGCTTGGCAATTTCTTTCAAAACAGGCCTGTTTTGTCACAATTAAACACTTGTTCAGGTTTAAATTCTTTACTGTCTATGTAATCCTTGAATTCCTTCACATATTTTTCAGCTGCTTTTTGGTCCGAACTGGCAGCCTCACCATGCCTAATCACACTATGTATGCCACTACGATTCTTAAATCTTTCAAACCAACCTTTGCTGGCCTTAAATTCACTCACATTACCACTAGTTGCAGGCATTTTTTCAGTTAAATCCTCATGCATCTTCCTAGCCTTTTCACATATGATCGCATATCTGTTTTTCATTTATCCACACCATTAACAGTCTCTCAACATCTTCTAACACTTGTGATCTCTGTTTCGACAACAGACATGCACCTTTTGCAAGAACAGCCTCCTTGATTGCTGTTTTCCTCGCCACTATAGTAGCGATGGTTGATTGGGGTTTGGTATACAACCTGGCCAGCTCCGAGACACTCCACTTTCGTACTTTGCAATTATCTCTTTCTTCATTTCCATAGTAATTAGCCTACTTTTTCTCACAGGGTTGGCACTAGAAGCTTTCTTGGGACCCATGGTGATTTATTTTGCAGAAACAAGCACCAAAAACCCTGTGATAATATGGAATATACCGAATGTATGCTTAGATGCGAGCACACTGGCTGGCTTGTAAACATTGGCTGGCTTGTAAACATTGGCATGCACGGGGCAGTTCAGGCCACACGACGCGTCCCGGACGAATCACGTGTGGTGGGTTTTTTAACGAGTGGCGAGGCAAAATTTTTGCGTTAAAATGTATCGTATACCGGATTTAACGTATACCGATGCCATCGAATGCCGGGGGTCCACTGTGTATAAGAAACACGTTACATAGTACAGTGGAACCCCGAGGTTTATCTGCCATGAGTATCATATGCTTCTAGTGTAGAACCATTTTTTTGGCTAAATTTTATCCCAAGTTTTGCATTGTGCTTCATGTTTTGTCCTGCATACCAGACCTGTCTGCCTCCCCGTGCAGCCTTCATGAGTCAGTCTGGCTTTGTTTCTCTTCGAGTGAACATTACATTACATACTAGGCATTTAAAGTGCCCTAGAGCAATAAAATGCATATACAGTACACTCATTACTTACCTTAAAATATTTGTTGTTATAATTATCTTAATACTATAGGGTGCAAGGTGAATAGAAAGGTAGGTATGTATCAAAGTGTGGTAGGTATGTAACCCCCATCTGGTTACCCCACCCACATTATATACTAGGCATTTAACCCGTAAATGGTCCAAACGTACATATACATTTTTACCGCTAGTGCCCCAAACGTATGTATACGTTTTGTGTGTCCTACAGTTAACATTGCCACGATAAGCCTGAGTTGCCTAGACATGTGAGAATGGGTGTGAGCACTCACTGTGCACCATATTAATCAATTGGGGATGCCTGGGTACCATATGCTCTTTTTTCCTATTAAAAAACAACAATTTTTTTTTTCTCAAAAAAGTTGGGGCAGTACGGAAGTGAACATATATAGTGGACCCCCGGTTAATAATATTTTTTCACTCCAGAAGTATGTTCAGGTGCCAGTACTGACCGAATTTGTTCCCATAAGGAATATTGTGAAGTAGATTAATCCATTTCAGACCCCCAAACATACACGTACAAATGCACTTACAGGTCTCCCTCAACATTCGCGAGGGTTAGGGGATCAAGAGCCTCGCGAATGTTGAAAAACCGTGAATGTTTGGTGCCCCAATATATTGTAGGGAAATATAATACAATACTGCTTCCTTAACTTGTTGAACCATGAACAATCATAAAATACATGAAAATGTCGTAAATTGTACTAAATATATACATGTTATGTTTTACTAACATGTATGTTATTAAATACCACAGACTCCTCCACTGCCTCCATCAATGCCTCCACCACTTCCTCAACCACTGCGAGTCCCTACTACCCTCCCTCCGAGCCCCGCAACTCGCAGCCAGCCCTCCCACCACTCAGTGTGGTGAGTGTTTTGTTTGTTCATTATTTGCTATTAAACTACAGTATAAATAATGTAAACCCATTCATGACTGCATATTGGAATGGCTATTCAGAAAGGTATTGGACGGTGACATCATGTGTTTACTCTTGAACACAGCAAAGAATCAAACATTTCTGCTTCTGCTAATAATAACAATAGTAGTAATAATAATAATAATAATAATAATACGATATAATTGAAGAAGGAAATTGTACAAAAATACGAGGGAGTGGTTGACACATCGTCAGTGTGGCTTTGTTTATGCTGGAGTGAACATTAGTCTCCCTGCTCTTCCAAACATTTCACAATAATTCAGCAGTTGAGGCAGTGGTATTTAATAACATATATGTTATAAATAATAATAGTACATATTATTAATAACATGTATTATTATTATTAATAACATGTATGTTATTAAATACCACTGCCTCAACCACTGCCTCAATCGCTGCCTCAACAGCTGCCTCACCCACTGCCTCAATCGCTGCCTCAACAGCTGCCTCAACCACTGCCTCAATAGCTGCCTCACCCACTGCCTTAATCGCTGCCTTAACAGCTGTCTCAACCACTGCCTCAATCGCTGCCTCAACAGCTGCCTCAATCGCTGCCTCAATTGCTGCCTCAATCGCTGCCTCAACAGCTGCCTCACCCACTGCCTCAATCGCTGCCTCAACAGCTGCCTCACCCACTGCCTCAATCGCTGCCTCAACAGCTGCTTCACCCACTGCCTCAATCGCTGCCTCAACAGCTGCTTCACCCACTGCCTCAATCGCTGCCTCAACAGCTACCTCAATCGCTGCCTCAACAGCTGCCTCACCCACTGCCTCAATCGCTGCCTCAACAGCTGCTTCACCCACTGCCTCAATCGCTGCCTCAACAGCTGCCTCAACCACTGCCTCAATCTCTGCCTCAACAGCTGCCTCAATCGCTGCCTCAATCACTGCCTCAACCACTGCCTCAATCGTGCTCAACAGCTGCCTCACCACTACCTCAATCGTGCCTCAACAGCTGCTTCACCCACTCCTCAATCGCTGCCTCAACAGCTGCTCTCACCACTGCCTCAATCGCTGCCTCAACAGCTGCCTCACCCACTGCCTCAATCGCTGCCTCAACAGCTGCCTCACCCACTGCCTCAATCGCTGCCTCAACAGCTGCTTCACCCACTGCCTCAATCGCTGCCTCAACAGCTGCTTCACCCACTGCCTCAATCGCTGCCTCAACAGCTACCTCAATCGCTGCCTCAACAGCTGCCTCACCCACTGCCTCAATCGTGCCTCAACAGCTGCTTCACCCACTGCCTCAATCGCTGCCTCAACAGCTGCCTCAACCTGCCTCAATCTCTGCCTCAACAGCTGCCTCAATCGCTGCCTCAACAGCTGCCTCAACCACTGCCTCAATCGGTCTCAACAGCTGCCTCACCCACTACCTCAATCGCTGCCTCAACAGCTGCTTCACCCACTGCCTCAATCGCTGCCTCAACAGCTGCCTCACCCACTGCCTCAATCGCTGCCTCAACAGCTGCTTCACCCACTGCCTCAATCGCTGCCTCAACAGCTGCCTCAACCACTGCCTCAATCTCTGCCTCAACAGCTGCCTCAATCGCTGCCTCAACAGCTGCCTCAACCACTGCCTCAATCGGTCTCAACAGCTGCCTCACCCACTACCTCAATCGCTGCCTCAACAGCTGCCTCACCCACTGCCTCAATCGCTGCCTCAACAGCTGCCTCAATCGCTGCTTCAACCGCTGCCTCAACCGCTGCCTCAACCGCTGCCTCAACAGCTGCCTCACCCACTGCCTCAATCACTGCCTCAACAGCTGCCTCAACCACTGCCTCAATCGCTGCCTCAACAGCTGCCTCAACCACTGCCTCAATCTCTGCCTCAACAGCTGCCTCAATCGCTGCCTCAACAGCTGCCTCAACCACTGCCTCAATCGGTCTCAACAGCTGCCTCACCCACTACCTCAATCGCTGCCTCAACAGCTGCCTCACCCACTGCCTCAATCGCTGCCTCAATCGCTGCCTCAACAGCTGCCTCAATCGCTGCTTCAACCGCTGCCTCAACCGCTGCCTCAACCGCTGCCTCAACTGCTGCCTCAACAGCTGCCTCAACCACTGCCTCAACAGCTGCCTCAACAGCTGCCTCACCCACTACCTCAATCGCTGCCTCAACAGCTGCCTCAACCACTGCCTCAATCGCTGTCTCAACAGCTGCCTCACCCACTGCCTCAATCGCTGCCTCAACAGCTGCCTCACCCACTTGCCTCAATCGCTGCCTCAAAGTCTGCCTCAACACTGCCTCAATGCTGCCTCAACAGTGCTCACCCATGCCTCAACAGCTGCCTCAACACTGCCTCAATCGCTGCCTCAACAGCTGCCTCACCCACTGCCTCAATCACTGCCTCAACAGCTGCCTCAACCACTGCCTCAATCGCTGCCTCAACAGCTGCCTCAACCACTGCCTCAATCGGTCTCAACAGCTGCCTCACCCACTACCTCAATCGCTGCCTCAACAGCTGCCTCACCCACTGCCTCAACAGCTGCCTCACCCACTGCCTCAATCGCTGCTTCAACCGCTGCCTCAACCGCTGCCTCAACCGCTGCCTCAACCGCTGCCTCAACCGCTGCCTCACCCACTGCCTCAATCACTGCCTCAACAGCTGCCTCAACACTGCCTCAATCGCTGCCTCAACCACTGCCTCTACCACTCCAGTCACACTCAATCTACAAGCACCAAACACTATGAATTATTGTGAAATGTTTGGAAGAGCAGGGAGACTAATGTTCATCCGGGCATAAACAAAGTCACACTGACGTGTGGTCTAACCACTCCTCGTATTTTTGTACAACTTCCTTCTTCAATTATATCGTATTTATTATTATTATTATTATTTTTATTATTATTATTATTATTATTATTATTACTATTGTTATTATTAGCAGTAGCAGAAATGTTTGATTCTTTGCTGTGTTCAAGAGTAAACACATGATGTCACCGTCTAATACCTGTCCGAATAGCCATTCCAATATGCAGTCAAGAATGGGTTTACATTATTTATACTGTAGTTTAATAGCAAATAATGAACAAACAAAACACTCACCACACTGAGTGGTGGGAGGGCTGGCTGCCAGTTGCAGGGGTTGGTGGGAGGGTAGTAGGGACTCGCAGGTGGCGGGAAACTTGAATATGATTTGGCGGCTGGGAATTTGGTGGCTGGGAATTTGGCGGTTGGGAATTCGCGAATGTGTGAAGCCCGTGAAAACTGAAAACGTGAATGTTGAGGGAGACCTGTACATAAATACACTTACATAATTGATCGCATTCGGAGGTAATCGTTATGCGGGGGTCCACTGTATATACGTTTGGACCGTTTATGGGTTAAAGTGCCCTAGAGCAATAAAATGCATGTACAGTACACTCATTACTTACCTTAAAATATTTGTAGTCTTAATGTAGAGTGAAAAGTAAATAAACAAGATGAGTACATTAGGGTAGAAGGTTCCCAGAGTTTTGTTGTTAGCAGTCCGGACACGAATGCTTTATGTTCACTCCATCAAGCCAACTGGAAAAACATCTCATATTTGTTAATTTTTATGTTTATATGTTACATAGCATGTTTATTATATAATATTAATATGGCATCTTCAAGACTAATAACACACTCTTAGTGATTTTAACCCTTTGACTGTTGAAACCCCAAATCCTTAGGTGTCTCCTTGTGTCGCAAAATTTCCAAAAAAAAAAAAAACAGATTTTTTCTTATGAAAGGATAGAGAATCTTTTCCCGATTGTAATGACACCAAAGGAACGAAATTTGATGGAAAAGTGACGGAATTATGCTCTCGCGAAGTTAGCGACCTCGGCGATATTTACGAATCGGCGATTTCGCCCACTTTGAGCCCTATTTTTGGACCAAACTCATAGCTATTTCTTTAGAACTCCATTTTTTCTATCAATTGAGTACAAGAAACTGCCCATTTACCGATTTCAACTACCCAATAACATGGTCAGAAATTTGCAATTTGGCCAATTTCACGAAAATTTAAAAAATGACAATTTCAAAATAGGGTCCAGAATGAACAATGCAGACATTCCTGTCTCTAAAATAACATTTTCTTTATTCATCGGTCACATCTTCAGGCCCCTCTGATATTACTCTTGCTTTCTATTTTGAATTTTTATTCAAACAAAAAATAGAAGATTTACTGTTATGCAGACTACTGCAATAATGTAATAATTGTATAAATAACATCAACCCATTCATGACTGCATATTAGAATGGCTAGTTGGACATTTATTGGAAAATGACATCATTGTTTACTTTTGAACATTGGCAAAAATCAAACAATTTCCCCTACTTTGAGCTCCATTTCAAGGTTCTTTTTATAGTAAAACCAATCAAAATCACCTCTGTTTCTATAATATGTTTTCCATTCTATCAAATGAGACCAAGAAAACGAGAATACAACCATAAATACTATACGAAAATAGACCACTAAGTTGGCATTTTAACTAAAAAAGCTGTCAGTTTTTTTTTTTCTCATTATGCACTGCGTGCTGCAGGATTTTTTTTATATGGTGCACACTGACCACACACTCATTCTCACATGTGGGCCTACTCAGCTTTCTCCTGCTTTATTTGAAGCCACTAGAATTTTTGAGTATATATACGTCAAACATGGTGGCTCGTAAGAGGTATATATACGACCGAAACAATCAAAGGGTTAATGTGTTCCTGCACACCAACACAGGTGCAAGTTGTGGAGTTTAAAGAAGTTAAGTTCAGTGATAAAGTGTAGCATTAACCCTTTGACTGTTTCAGGCCCCTTTCTGAAACTGTCATTCTATGTCGCTAAATTTTTGAAAAAAAAAAAAAAAAAAAATTTCTTATGAAATGATAGAGAATCTTTTCCCGATGGTAATGACACCAAAAGTTCGAGATTTGGTCGAAAACTCATGGAATTACTCTCCTGCGAAGTTAG